AAATAAGGACATATTTTGCCCCTCTTATTATTTGATTTAATTTAAACAAAAAAAAAAGAAAAGAAAAATAGACATGGACCCCACTCAAAAATCTTCATCTTCTTTCTCCTTCAACCACAATCCTCCACCATCGGACATCCCAATCCTCCATAGCTTAATCGACGAGCTCCTCCTCCATTAAACTCCATCGTCTCTCTCATCAACACGAGAAGCAACCCAACAACTGAGGTAATACACTTATTCATACCCATTGTTAAATTTTAAACTCGTTGGCATGAAGTGGAGTTATTGTGGATTATATTTGTTCATCCCTATTGAACAATTAACATTGTAGATTTGGATTTGATCCGGTTTTTCTTATCCTCATTGTCAATTAGGGATATGAGTCGAATTGGGTGGACTATTTTTCATAATGTGTGCATTGTAACAGTTCAATTGAATTGAATCATAGGAATATATTCTGAAATTAGTAGTGGTTGTAGTACAACTAGTAGAACTTGGTATAACTATTCAGGCACAACTTTGTATAACCATAATGGTAAAACTAGTAATACAAATGGTACTCTTTGGTATAACTTGGTATAACTATGAACACGATAAAGATTATAATGTTAGTTTTCCTATTCTATTTCAGGCCACAATGAATAAAAACCATCGAAAAATCATAATATATGATTATGGGGGATATTATGCAACAAATAAAAATGAAACAAGATGGAATTCAAGAGATAAAGTTCATCAATCTCTTAGAATGGAGACAGAGGAGGTCACTTATTCTGCAATGGTGAACAAGATATGCTGGAAGGCGAATGTTGATGAAGCAACGACTGAGCTGAAATTGAGTTACGTTCCAAAATCAGTGGAGCCTAAGAGACCAATATACATATTTGATGATGATGATGTTATGTGTTATATGGATATGAATGAAGATCATTTCAAAGTTTTGCATGTCGAAGTCGTAAATAAGGGGTATGAGAAGAGTCGAGGAAGTGTAGGTTGTTCACTCAATGAGGAGCATATTTCAAGTAGTAGAGCGACAGATGAGACCATGTTCCTTGATGAAAGCGAGCCGTTTGAAAGTCATGAGATGGTGGAAAATAGTGATGGGAGAGACGGGAACATGATTTGTTATGAAGAATAGTCCGAAGAACGAGCAATAGTAGAAGTTGGCACACATGTTGCTGAGATCACACCTTTTGAGATCACACCTGCTGCAGAGATTACACCGGTTATAAAGAGTGAGTGGGAAGATGGTTTGGATGTGACTATCCGGCAAGAATTTGAAAGCAAGCAAGCAATTAAAGATTTAGTTGAAAAAGTTGCGCATAAGAACTGTTTTGAGATTGTTATAATAAAGTCGGATCCTATGTTGTTTGTGTTTAAATGCTCAGAATTTAGAAAGGGTTGCAAGTGGGCTTTACGAGCAGCAAAGAATGGAATGCGGACAATGTTCGGTCAGAACTAACACTAAGATACATACATTCTTACGGTCAGAAACAAGTATAATGAGTAAAAAAAGGAGAGGCATTTCTCATTTAGTTGCATCTGTTTTGCGTGAAGATTTCCCATGTCTGATAGACAATCCAACTCCAAAAAATCTCATCCCTTTGGTTCAATCAAAAGTTGGTATCAAAGTGTCATACTCAACCGCAAATAGAGGGAAAAAGCTAGCTGCAGCTGACCTTCGTGGTACCGCAGAGGATAGTTATAAGTTGGTTTATTGATATATGCACATGTTGGAGAAGATGAATCCAGGTACAATTTCATTTGTTGAATTGGATGAAGCGCAGAGGTTTAAATATTTGTTCTTCGCCTTGGGGGCGTGCATTGAAGGCTTCAATTCCATGAGAAAGGTGATCATTGTGGATGCAACCAGTACTAAAAATGTATATGGTGGAGTACTCATCGTGGCTTCAGCTCAAGATCCGGATCATCACCATTATCCAATTGCATTTGGTGTAGTTGATAGTGAGAATTATGCAAGTTGGACTTGGTTTTTCAGTAAATTGAAATCAGTTATACCTGATTGTACTGAGTTGGTGTACCCGTTTTCTCACCATGGGTATTGTATTTATCACTTGTCTCAGAATGTTAAACTGAGCTGTAAGAACGTGAACAGAGATCTAGTTGCGGCGACGTTCATGCAAGTTGCGAAGGCCTACACCGAGTCTGAGTTTGAGAAACTCTATGCTGATTTCATTAAAAGGTTTCTAGCCGCAGGTACTTATCTTGATAAACACGTAGGACAACAAAAATGGGCACGATGTTTTTTTCCAGGAGCTAGATACAACATTGATACAACTAATACAGTTGAATCTATTAATGGTGTCTTTAGATTCTTAAGGGCATACGCGTTACTACCAATGATAGATGCGATTGTTGCTAAACTAGCTGAATGGTTTAATAAATATAGGAAAATATCCTTAGAGACACCAATAGACCAAAAGTTAGTCCCTTTTGTTGAGAAGTTGTTGCACGATATATGTTTAGACGCAAAGCTCTTACCGGTGACTGAACTAAACAGCTATTTTCACGAATACAGTGTGACTGGAGTTGATGGTAGTAGTTATGTGGTTGATCTGGAAAAAAAAACTTGTTACTGCAAGCAATTTGATATTGATAGATATCCGTGTCTGCACGCTATTGCTGCGGCCATGGAAGCAGCAAAAAACGCTGGTCATGAGATTAATGAGATCCAATTGCATGAGATGTGCAGTAAGTATTATTGGATGGAGCAGGGTGCATTAAGATATTCAAGGACGATATATCCAGTTCCTATCATGTCTATGTGGATCGTTCCGGACAATGTGCGTGCTTTGGTTGTCTTTCGTAAGTTTTATGTCATAAAATGAGGAAGGAAACCAACAAAGAGGATTAAATCAACAGGAGAACATGTACGAAGGAAGAAGAAATCTACCATCGCGAGCTAGTTTGAGAGTCAGGGTTCCCGAAGTTAATTGATTGTATTTTGATGTATTATACTATTTGAAAAATTAGGTACAACTTGTTTTTGTTATGGTACAACTTGAATAATTTGAATTTGATTTTCGGACTTTCTTAAGTCAACTTTTTTAAATAAAAATCTATATTGTTATATTTAAAAAATATTTAAATAATCAAAAATAAGGATTTATTTTAATTAATCAAATAATCAGGATTTATTTGAATTTTTAATAAACATGAATTGGAATTAAATATAGAAAACTTAATAAATATAAATATGAATTGAATTATAATTTCATTATGTTATCCAATATATATATATATATAATAAGGAATCATGATTTTAATTATTATACCTCAATATAGATATCATCATATTCTAAGTTTATCAAGAAATACCTTACACATTAAGGGTCACTTTCTCATTGCAAACAACATATAATTAGAAAAGCTAAGAAACAAATGTTTTCAAAAATATTTAGGCATGTACATGTGGTATATGTACCTCAATTAATTAAAATCATGTGTACAACTAAACATATTTCTTTTAAACATTGTATAACTAATTAGAACAAAAAAAAATGAAAATGTACAACTTGCCAAAACGAGTACAGCTTGTAATTTTGGTACAACTAGTGCAATTTGGCGGCTACACATGTGTCTTTTGGCGGCTACACGTGTCTAATGTGGATCACGTGTTTTTGTTTGGTTCTTTTTTATTTTTTTTTTATTTTTATTTTTCCTATACTTAAGAATTTTTTAAAAAATTCAATTTCAAATTAAAATTGAAAGAGGGAATTGGGAGTCCATCGGGCATAGTTAGGGTTTACTGTCTGTCTTCTCTTTTACTCTCTTCACTTCTTCTCCTTCTTTCTTTCTAGGTTGGTTTGCGATTTCGTCTTTTTATTTTGGGTTTGCGATTTATGAGAATGAGCTACGAATCTGGAGCATCGGGAATCATATGTGGAAATTCTTCCAACCGACAAAGGTTCCTTGTAATTAAGTGCCATTGTGGGTCACCAATAGTTGACATAATCTCTCGACCCATACCAAATCTGCGTCGTCGCTACTAGCGGTGTGAATATGCATATGATAGAAGGGTAAAGCTGTTTGATTACTATTGTGTTTGCGATTTAGTTACCAACTTTTCCTTCCAATTTTTGATTTTTTATGTAGCTTGTGAACGATGGACATGTCTTTAAGTGGGTTGATGAAGCACTGGTGGATGAGGTAGAACAATTGGATTTTCAAGTTGGTGTTCTAGAGGAAGAAGTTACTCTTATGAAGATGGAAAGGATGAGAGATATGAAGGAAATTAAGAAAACGTGGATACTTGTTTTCTGTGGTTGTCTTCTTGTGATAGGGCTGGGAATATGGTACAATCAAGTGCTTGTTCTTCGTAATTGTACAACTAAGTATGACTTGTTCTTCGTAGATGTACAACTAAGTATAAAACTAGTTGGTTAATTTCCTTGGTTTGATTGTAACTTCCCCTTTCCTTATTGGCTTAGCTTTGTTGGTAACTTAAAACTTACTTTGTGTATTCGGGTTGTAATTTTTGGTTGTAAAACTAGTATTTTGTAATGGTACAGCTACTATGTAGTTTTACCAAGTTAATCTTTTGAATGCAGTTGTATAATGATGGGAACTCAGAAACTTAACAAACAACATATAACTTACATATAATAGTTCAAAACACATCCAAAAACACATCAATCCATAAACCAATACAAAAAGTTCACATATAAAAAGACTCAAAAATCCAACGAACAAACCAATCTCAAGAGTTCACAACTTAACCAGATAGATCATCAATAATCTTTCTTCGCATTTTGTCTTGTCTGAATAGGACTTCTTATTACTACAGTAGATCCCTTCTTCTTGCTTATGATCTTCACCCTTTTACCTTGGTGAGCATCAACAACTTCTTCTCTTTCCCTATTTTCTCATTTATCCTTAGCTTGTTCTTTCTCGCCATGTTCCATCTCAACATCTTCCTCTCGGCCTTCTTCAGTTGTCCCAAGTTGTTCTTTCTCTTCTTCAATTGTACTAAGTTGTTATGTCTCTTCATCAGTTGTACCAAGTTGTGCTTTCTCTTCATCAACCTTCTCCTTCTCGGTCTCGGATTTCTCAGCCTTTTCCTTCTCAGTTTGTTCCTTCTCAGCATGCTCTTTGTCAGCCCTCTCAGCCTTATCAGCTTGCTCCTTTTCAGCCTTATCCTTCTCAGCCTTAGCCCTCTTAGCCTTATCAGCTTGCTCCTTGTCAGCCTTATCCTTCTCGGCCCTAGCCCTCTCAGCTTTATCCTTCTCGGCCTTAGCCTTCTTGGCCTTAGCCCTCTCAACCTTCTCGGTCCTAGCCCTCTCAGCCTTCTCGATCTTAGCCCTCTCAGCCCTCTCAGCCTTCTCGGTCTTAGCCCACTTAGCCCTCTCAGCCTTGTTGGCCTTAGCCCTCTCAGCCTTCTCGGTCTTAGCCCTCTCAGCCTGCTCCTTCTTGGCCTGCTCCTTCTCAAACTTATCCTTCTCAGCCTGCTCCATCTCAGCTTGCTCCTTGTCACCTTCATTCGTATCTCCATTGCCACCACCATTCATATCTCCAACACCTGCATTCGTATAATATTGATCTTCACCTGAGGCCCATTTCACATTAGATTCCACAGATTTAACTCTGTTATCCAGACCATCAACATTCTCAATAATTTCCTTAAACCCTTGCTTCACTTGTTCTTCTAGCTGAATCAATCTAGCTCCTAGCTGAGCCAAATTCACCGAAGCCACTGGGTTCACATCTTCCAGACTTACTTATTCCAGAATCACATTTTCCAGATTCACATCTCCCGAAATCACATATTCAGGATCCTGATTTGTCTCCCGGGTGGCCAAATCTTGGTTGTAAATCTCTTCAAACCATATTGACTTCTCTTCATCAATTAAACACTTGGTCCAACCATCAACAACGGGATCATCTACATCATTATAGCGACTCTCTTCATCCATTTTACGACCTAAAAGACGTTTCTCACGTGATGATGGAGTAAAGATACTCTCAATATCCTATGAAAATAAAACAATATAATGTCAAACCAACCCAGTAATACCAAAAATAAATGAATAAGATAAGTATGAGACTATTGCTAACCTTAGTTGTACCAAGTTTGTCAAAAATTTCGTTCATTGAAAACCCTTTCATTTTACTTGCTTTAAATTTCATCTTGCACATCCGAGGACAATGACAGTGTGCATGTGCATTACTAACACATTCTCGGAAATTTTCTTTCAGAACAGGAATTGCCTCAAAAGCAAGAACCTACACACAACACAAAAGCATGGACTTAAAACTCAATTATACAAAGTGATACTAATTTGTACATTTTCATAACTCAAGAATTACCTCCAACGGAATGACGAAACTAGGAAAGACCCATTGTTGTGTGCTCAAAACCCCCCTAAAGTGGTTCATACAATGAAAGATGTCCTTCATGTTCTCATCAAAATCCAAACGACCCCAAGGAAACGTTTTACACTTGTCCAAATCATCAATAGCCCTAAGAAAGAATGGCTCTACGGATGGTGCTTGCTTCCCTGGCTTCTACTTCCCTATGAGCACGCTACACAAGAAGTAGAGGACCACCATCTTCACTCTATCTGGAGAAGCTTTCTTCATCGATAAAAGCTTTGCTTTGACATCATCATATCTTATTGTTGTGGCAACACCAAAATCCTTACCGACAAACTCAATACTGCCCGGGGATAATCATGGCAGTATAAGCCAGAAATCAGTGCCATTTCTCTAAGAGAATATATGATGGGAGTACTATTTACTATGAACCAAGATTCCTCTTTCTTCTCTAAAGACGCCGTCCGGAGAAGCAACATTCACATACCCATCAATTTGTGATTGGCATCCTTCGGCATATGGAAGAAGTGTTTGAACTGTGGGTGTCCTAAGAACCAGTCCAACTCATGGGACTTAAGGTGAGCTCTCAAGAAGCTCACTATCCTTGTGATATAACACTTAGCATATAGCTTGAATGGCAACATGTACTCGGAGAGACTGAAGTACATGTTCAGTGGTTGCATTACTTATGTTCCCTCCTCGGATTCCTCCTCGGACTCCTGCAAAACAACTTAGTTATACTAAGTTTTCCCAAGTTGTACCGTTTGTTTCAAATTGAAATATTTGTACATACCAAGTTCTCCTAAGTTGTAATATTCTATCCAAGTTGTACATACCGTTGAATCCCCAAAATCTGATTTCAGATTTGACTCTGTTTCTTCTGAATCATCTCACGAGTCCCATCTTCTTCTACGATTGCATCTGTTGCCTTTTCGACTTCACCTACTGGATCTGTCTCTTTGTTAAAGCTTGCGTTCTTTGTACGCACCATTCTCTTCTCCTTCAAACAAAACCAACAACCGCAAATTACAACATACTCGAGTAATAAACGAAATCAACACCTAAATCGACAAAACCTAAATCGAGAACACCAAAATCGTTAACATTCAAGCGGATCTAACATAAAATACCCAAAGAATTATCGATTTTGACTTACCTATTACGGGTTGGCCTTAGTTATACTCGAACTGCTTGTGATTTTCAGATTTTTCAAACGATGAAGAGGAAGACAAAAAGGTAAAAGATCCGATGGATATCCGATACTGAAATGGGTTTTCGGATATAGGGTGGTTGGATCTATAAATTTTTGATTTAGTGAGGATGAGTTTGTATTTTAACCAATTTTAGAATTTTTTAATTAAATTTTTTAATTAATTTTTTTTTTTCCTTTTGGTCAAACCCTTAGAAAAATAAGAAAATCAGTCAAATGGCACCATAGATTTTAGTCCCAAAACAAGTAAAGTCTAGAGATTTTAAACAAGTAAAATAATACGATTGTCTAGAGACCCGCTTAGACTTCACCTCAGCTAATTAAAAAAACTAGTTAATCTACGAACTAATATATAAACCTTTTGACATGGTGGAATAAAGACAACCAATCACATGAGTCATGAGATATAATCTCTTTCAACCTTTCAAATTTAATCTACAAGATTATATCTACAATATTTCATTACATTTAGATAAGATTTGAAAGGTTGAGAGATATTTCAACTCTATAGAAAACAAGTAAATATAATCTCACATGAGTCGTGAGATATAATCTCTTTCAACCTTTCAAATATAATCTCTTTCAACTTTTCAAATCTTATCCAAATGTAACAAAATATTGTAGAGTTGTCATTGCTTTGACCATTTCGGACATGACGTTAAATTTCCATTGAGAGAATTAATTTTTTGTTAGAATTTATGTTTCTCATCTGTTAAATTCCAAAAAGACAGCGTAGCTTTAAAAATCATTTGCAAATGAGAAACAGAAATTCTAACAGAAAGTTAATTCTCTCAATGGAAATTTAACGTCTTGTCCGAAATGGTCAAGGCAATAACAAGTCTACAATATTTCATTACATTTGGATAAGATTTGATATGTCGTTATCCTCTTCTCCTAAAAACGTGACGAATCTGCTTCTTTTGCCTTATATACTAAAACAAAGCTAATTCTCTCATTCTCACAAGTAAACTTCTTCTTCTCCATTTCTATAACTCTTTTCTCATAAACAAGCAGCGACAATAACAAAAGAGAGAAGAGGTTTTCTTTGTAAAAATAGGGGTTTTGGTTTAATTTGATTAAACCATAATTTACCTAAACCGACATTAATTAAACCTCTTTTGATTAAATTAACAAATCGACCACCACAATTTTTATACATACTCAAGTCTTCTATTATTTTCCAGGACATGGGCGATACACTACCAATCAAGCTAAATACTCAACCACTCTCCTTTAACGTACCACCATTTCCATCAGCTATCGTTAACCATTTTTTTTATAACCATTATGGCTTTGATTGGTAACATCATTCAAACGAGGTGGTTAAATCTTCTTTTATCAGTTATAGAGTAGATGGCTAAAGAAACGACGATTAAAAACAGGGATGAGAAACAGTTATGATTCTTATGATTGGTAACAAACAGTTATAATACTTATGATTGGTAACAACTAAAATGAATGGTACAATATTATTATAGTTTAAAATTTTATAGAGTTCAAATATTAATAATCTTTTAATTTTTTGTAGAGTTTAAATAATTTTTAAAGCTTGAATTAAATATTATAATATTTGGCTTTTAAAATTTTTTAATATTTTACAATATTTTAAACTTTTTAAAAAAAAATTTTATAATATTTTGAAACTTTTAAAAGTTTTTTTTTCATAAATAAAGAACCTGATTAAACAGAGTAATTTTTTTAATTTGGATTTCTAAGAAAGCAAGCTTCTTGCTCATTTGTAGTTGAGAGCATATTAGTCCTATTTATAATGGTGTCGGTTTACTCAACTCTGATGTCCCGTCATTGCGACGGTGTCGGTTGACTCATCGCCATTATGTGGTTAACTAATACCGTTTTGGTATATGTTGATTTTGGCTGATTTCATATAGTTTAGGTTGAGAATTTGAATTTTTGCGATTTTAGGTCGCTATTTGCCGGGTATCATAGTTTGGATATAAAAATACCACCAGCAAATAGTCTCGGTTGATTTTCGCCATTTCTCCTAGTTTTGAACTATTATCTAAACATTTCTACCTTATGTAGACGTTATACAAACATTATATTCTTTTAACGATAGAGTAATATACGTCTATTTTCAAAATTTTAAATTTCAAATATGCAGAATACAATTTGTGTTTATATTATATATAATTTTATGTAATAATATAAATTTAAAACAAATAAGATGGTAAAAATATATTGGAGAGAGATTCGATTTATTAAGGAGAGATTTTAGGAAATTTTAGTGTAATTAAAATTGGTTTTCAATTTTGCGATTTACTTATGATTTAATTAAAAATTTTATTTTAAAATTTATTTTAAAGTTTTGGTATTTATTCAAATTGCAAAAGTTTGATTGTGCACATATTACAAAATGAAAAATTAAAACCCAAAATAGATTTTAGCACAAAATATAAATCAACCGGAATTAAACCGACTCATTTTTAACAGTTGAGACTAGATCTTAAAGTTTCAGAAAAGTGGGTCTATTTTTCTTAACGTAATTACACTAAGGCCCGTGTTCGAGTCATTGAACACGGGCCTTAGTGTTATTACCTGTTCAACAAGTTTTTCTTTTGGTTTTTTTATTTCTTTTGCTTTAGGATAATTCTCATCACTTCTTCTAACTACTTTAGGATTTGGATTATCGTTCGTTTGGCTTTAAATATTGTCTCAAATCTTTGTATCAACATAACTGATTTGAATCGAATAAAAGAAAAGACCAAAAAGAGGTACCAACAGCTACCCAAAAAGAGCTGTTGTAAGCCCTAGGAGGAGGACTCCTGCAACACCATCGTCTTACATCTCTTCGCCTCTGTTCCGTATTCGACTTTGATTCCTCTGTTTTGTCATTCAAAACAGTGCATCTCCACTATTCCATCTCTCTTTGCTTATGCCTCTACATTAGTTGGTATCAGAAACTCAAATTATTGGCATTGTTTCTATTCTGATCATACCATGCCTCCCAAATCAGACACTTCACTTGGAAATCCACCCGATAACACCATTAACTGGTTGGAATTTCTGGATGCCTTACTAAACTCACAACATGCCATGCAAAATTCCATCGCAACACTAACAGATGCCTTGTTGCAGAACCGTGATCGCCCTCAGCAACCTGCTGCAATCGTCACTTACTAACAAGGCCCATAGGGGAATCACGCCGCTGGACAGCAACAACAACATGATCTCGCCGTCATCAGTGCACCAGAACAACGACCCGTTAACACATTTTGGGTGCAGATTTTCGTCAAGGAATTCCTGAATTTCATGCGGGAATTCGTGGTGACTCTCTCTTGGACTGGATTGGGTCCGTAGAAGAAATTCTTCAAGAGTGTTCCTGATAACAAGCGTGTTTTGTTGGTTTCGACAAAGTTCTGTTGTCACACAGCTTCTTGGAGGCAACAAACCAAAACTACTCGACTGCGCTCCGGAAAAACTACAATTCAAACATGGGACAAGCTTAAAAAGAAGCTCAATGAGACATTCTTAGCCAACAATTATGACAGGACAATGTATAATAAGCTCCAGAACTTGAAACAAGGTTCCCAATCCGTGGATGAATACGCTGAAGAGTTCTACATTCTCCTTTCACGTAATGACATGGCTGATAGTCAAGTGCAACTGGTTTCCTCATTCATGCGACCGCGAATTCAGAGCTCTCTGGCTCAATATGATCCAACCACAATTGTTGAAGCTCATCGGCGTGCCTTCTCATTTGAACAACAGTTTCGTGCTCCTCCTTGGAATTCCTCATCTCGGCGATGTTTTAATCAAAGTAGCTCGTCACATGCTTCTACTCCACGGGACAACAAAGACAACGTCAAAACAAAGCCACATCTGGGTTTTCGCGAAGGTGAGAATGGGGTGAAACGTTCTACTCGTATCGCTCTCAAGTATTAACCTTGCGACGAACCAAGATATGTACGATCAAGGGCCGGATATGCACATTCATCATTGATTCGGGCAGTAGTCGCAATGTGTCTGAAAGCTAGATATACCAGTAGAAGAGCATTTGTGTCCTTATTCACTCACTTAGTTGTATGATGGTGTGGATCTTCGTATCACTCATAGAAAATTAGTGTCATTTTCTGTTGGACAGTAATACAAGGATCACTTTATTTTGACATCACACCAATGGATGTGAGCCACTTAATTTTGGGAAAACCTTGGGAGTATGACAGGAAAAACTTTCATGATGGGGAGAAAAACACTTATAAGTTCATTTGGGAGACGCATCCGATTGTTTTGCTTCCTTCTCTTGTAATATGCCGCGAAAAGACGATGCCAATGCTCAACCATCTGTGTTTTCTCGTTTGTTGTTTCCTCCAACATTGTCATCATTACCAGCTACTACTCCTCAACTACTATGTTTGTATGCGACATTTGCAAAAGAATTTCATAGAGAAGGCATGGTATTCGCGGTTTATACTACACCCGTTGGAAAGGCTGTCCAAACACCATCATCAACATTAACCTCGTGACTGGCCGAATTTGCTGATGTTTTTCCAACCGATTTGCCTGACGAGTTACCACCGTTACAGGATATTCAATACCACATTGACCTCACTCCGGGTGCGACGTTGCCTAACCGACCTCATTATCAAATGAGTCTGTCGGAACATGAAGAACTACGACGTCTAGTTGAAGATCTCTTGCGAAAGGGTTATGTCCGAGAAAGTCTAAGTCCTTGTGCTGTTCAGGCATTATTCATTCCAGAAAAATATGGCTCATGAAGAATGTGTGTGGATAGCCGTGCTATCAACAAAATCACGATACGTTATTGGTTTCTAATACCGTGCTTGGATGACCTTTTGGATCAAATTGGAACAACTTCTTTTTTTTCCAAGATTGATCTAAAGAGTGGCTACCATCAGTTTTGTATTCTACCGGGGGATGAGAGGAAGACCGCATGTAAAACGCATGAAGGTCTATTTGAGTGGCTTGTGATGTTGTCCGGCCTTTCTAATGAACCAAGTACGTTCATGCGTTTCATGAACCCAGCTTTACGGCCATTTATTGGTAAATTCGTGGTGGTTTATTTTGATGACATCCTCATCTTTAGTAAATCATAAGCCGAGCATGAACAACACATTCTTGGACGTCTTGCTGGTTTTATGACGCAACAATTTCTTCGCGGCTAAGCAGAATTGTGAATTTGGTACACGGGAAATTCAGTTCCTTGGCTATGTTATTTCAGACAAGGGATTGATAGTAGATCGAGCCAAAGTCTAAGCAATTCAGTCGTGGCCCATGCAACAGACACTCACCAAGGTGCGAAGCTTCCACGGCCTTGCCTCATTTTAGACGTTATATTCTACATTTCAGTGCAATCATGGCCCCGATAACTAGTTGTATGAAAGAGGGTAAATTTACGTGGTCTCCTAAGGCAGCAGCTGCATTTTCACTTATCAAGGACAATCTCACGACAACGCCGGTTTAATTGTTGCTCGACTTCGTATTGACATTTGAGCTGCATTGTGACGCTTCTAAGATGGGAATTGGTGCAGTCCTTAGTCAACAAGGCAAAGCAATTGCTTATTTTAGCGAGAAATTTGCGGGTGCTTGGCTACGGTACAACACGTATGATTCTGAATAAGCTATTCACCATTGGAGACATTATTTGTTTCACCAGGATTTTATTCTCTTCACGGACCATGACGCTCTTCGCCACCTTGACAGTCCAGCTAAGGTGTCCGCTTGGCACACCTCTAGGATAGCTTTTTTACAACAATTTACTTTCTCTATTCGTCATCAAGCAGGAAAATCCAACCGTGTCGCGGATGCATTGAGTCGACGGCACACGTTATTGGCTTCTATTCAAACAAAGGTCCCGCGTTTTGAGACATTCGCTTCTCTTTATTCTTTGAACCCATTTTTCTCCACAGTCTTTGCAGAGGCTGAACAAGGGTTTTCTACTGAATTTACCGTTCAACATAATTTCTTGTTTAAAGGTCTTCGCGTTTCTGTTCCCGACTATAGTCTTCACTTGCAATGAGAGCCATGTGGGTCGCGAGAGGAAGCTAACTCTTGTTACTACGTCTTATTTTTGGCCGACAGTACGTTGGTCGTTGTCATGGTTGTCAAAAGAGCAAAAGGAAGGCGTCCAATGCGGGTATATATTTGCCGTTGCCTATTCCATCACAGCCTTGCACTCAACCTGGTCATGACTCTATCTTTTGGATAGTTGATCATTTTATCTAAAATGGCACATTTCATCCTTTGTAAAAAAACGACCGATGTTGTTAACGTGGCTACACTATTTTCCGGGAGATCTATTGGCTTCACGGTTTGCCATTATCTATCTTGTTAGATCGTGACACTCGCTTCTTTAGCCGTTTTTGACATTCATTGTAAAAGATGCTTTCGTCGTCCCTCGATATGAGCACCGCCTACCACCCTCAAAGTGATGGGGAAACTGAGGTTACTAACTGTTATTGATCAAGATCTTATTGAGTATATCAAGATAGAATAGACCATTATAAAGTACCTTATATTGGTCTATTCTATCATGTTGGTCTATAAAGTACTTTATAAAGTAATTTATAAAGTATCTTATAAAGTACCTTATAAAGTATCTTATAAAGTATCTTATAAAGTACCTTATAAAAGGTCTATTCTATACATACGAGGGATGTTCAAATAGATTAGCATTATTTATATTGTTAGCTTCCCTTGTAAGCTTATCTCTCATCCCACTTATTTATGTGTGGTTGTAAACCTAATGAAGTATGAAGAGTAATTCTCTCTCTTTTCTATTCTTGGTTACTATTCATCTTCTCTCCCAATCTCTTTCTGATTCTTGTTACTCAAATCTAGCATCTCTCTCTTGTTATTCCGCTTAATCTAACAACTGTTCCTTGGGAAGTTTGCTTCATTGTCTTGTAGATGATCATATTCGCAGCTGGGATACTAACTCTGTCATGCTAAATTTTCTCATAATCATGTTGAGAATCGGAGTTTGGGGTTCAAGCCATTTTGCGTCGTTTATGGGAACGTTCCCCATGGTCCTCTAGAGCTTGCTTCTGTTCCGGATCGCACATGGTTGCATGGTCAAGCCATGGATTTTGTCAATGAGTTCGAAAACCTTCATAAGATCGCCAAGGAGAACTTGGAAACTGCTTCAGCCAAGTATAAAGTAGCAGCTGATTCAGGAGCTGTTATTTGATTCGGGTGATTTGGTGTGGGTCGTGCTCACCAAGGATCGTGTGCCAGCTCGAGAGTATAACAAGTTGAAAGGATAAAAGAATAGGTCCTGTTGAAGTGCTTGAGCGTATCAACCGAAATGCATATCGCCTCCGTTTGCCGCCTCATTTGAACACGTCTCCTTTCTTCAACGTCGGTTATTTGTCTCCCTATCTTGGCGACAATAACGAAACAGATTCATGGGGCGACCTGATGCAACGCATCTTTGGACTTTATCGAATTGTTGAACACGGGCCTTCGTGTTATTATGTGTTCAACAAGTTTTTCTTTTGGTTTTGTTATTTCTTTTGCTTTAGGATAAATCTCAGCAGTTCTTCTAACTACTTTAGGATTAGGATCACCGTTATTTCGTTAGGCTTTAAAATAGCGTCTCAAATTTTTGTACCAATATCACTGATTTGAATTGAATAAAAGAAAAGACCAAAAAGAAAGCTACCTAAAAAGACCTAGTGTAAGCCCTAGGAGGAGGACTCCTTTAACACCATCGTCTAACATCTCTTCGCCTTTGTTCCCTTTTCGACTTTGATTCCTCTGTTTTGTCATTCAAAACAAAGCATCTCTTCTATTATATCTCTCTTTGCTTCTCCCCCTCTACATTACCAAACATCCATGACACTTCCATTAATACACCTACAAATAATCACAAAACAAGTCACTGAATCCCAATGGCTTAGATAAGCTCATGGTCACGCACTCACATTAACAAGGTGACTCAAATAGCAAAAACAACCACGAAAGACTTTCCTCGCGACTGCAAGAGCCAGCAACATTGTACAACAAGCAACACAAACAAAAATCCTCTAGAACCAAACCGGACAAAAACAAAAGAAAAAATATAGGCACATAAACGAAGCCCTAAAACAGAACCCAACCGTTAATTTTCGAATCTTTTCGGTGTAATCACGACATCACGAAGCTTCCCACAAAATTTGTGCCGATCAGATAACTAATGAAACCGCGATCGCACTTACAATCTTCTCTGGTCTCAGTTCGCGAAAAAGAAAAAGTATATCACGGAAATGCATATAACTCATAGAGTTTTAATCCAAAATCACTTCTCAACAACCCTACCAAATTTCATTACCTTTCGATGAGATTTCATATGTCGTAACCCTTTTCTCCCAAAACGTGAAGATTCTGGTTCTTTTGCTTTTTACACCAAAGCAAAGCTTCCTCTTTTTCTCACAAGTAAACTTCTCCTTCTTCTTTTCTCTAACTCTTTTTCTAATTTGATTGAACCATGATTTACCTGAAAGTTAATTCGATGTCCAATGATAAAATGGGCTCCCAATGATGGTTTGATGTCAAAAATATATAAATATAATGATGTGATGGTTTATATAAGATGCCTCAAATTTCTAATGATATCAATATATTGTAATGAAATTTTTCTTTTTTGGCAACATATTTTTCAATATGATTTTTTTTGTTGAGTCATTACATAATCTTATACTCCCTCTATTTCTAATAGATTGATGTTTTAAGAATTTTTGTTTTTTCAAAAAAATTGATTTTGTAGATTAAAAAAATTAAAAATCATTATTTTATTTTTTACTTTTTTCCACATGTCATGCTATTAATGGTTTATATTTTCTCTTTCTACCCACAAACAATTATAAATTAATTAATAAATAAAAACTTTACTTTTTTTAATAAGTGTGAAAATCTTAGAACATCAATCTATTAGAAACAGAGGGAGTATACAATACAATAGAAAATATGGATATCCATTTATGGCTTATTCAGAAAGTTTGACTTCAAATGTTTTAAACCTTAGTAACATAATATTTGACTTCTGACTAATTTTTTTGACTGGTTCATTTGAAGTCAAAACTTCTACTAATATGATTTTCATTGGTGAAAAACACTATAAATAGAGCAACAAATGTTCAATTGTTATTACTACTAATTGTCTCAACCAATTTGTGAAAGAAAAATAACATAAAACTATGGAGAAGGCATTTTCACTATTGGTTTTCATCATACTCTTTATCATGCTTGCTTCTGGTATTCTTTGGTTTCTTTTATATAAAATTCAAGTGTTGTTTATTTTCTCTGTACTATGATTTTTTTTAGTTTTTAGTTGTTTTTTTTAGTTTTGACAAAACAATTTTACAGTTGAAAATAAGGTGAAGGCAAATACATGCATGGAGGGTCTCGGTAATTGCCAGCAATGTAGTGAGAGATGTAAGGCCAAGCACGGACCACAAGGCGAAGGCAGTTGCGACATCAAGAATCAACTATGCACGTGTTATTACCCGTGTGGATCTCCATCGGGTCCGCAACCCAAAAAATGCTATGGTGGAGCTGGCCTGTGCGGCGGTAATTGTGGTCCTCCTTGTTGCAACCAAAAGTGTGCGCAGAAGTATAACCAAGGAACTGGATTTTGTGACAGCATTGGCCACACTTCTTTGTGCAAATGCGAATATCCTTGCTGATAACTATTTCAATTTTTCTATAATAAATCAAAACCTACGGATCAGTTGTCTTTTTTTCTTTTCATGTTTCAACTACTAATATGTGGCAGAACTAGCATGTAATAAATAAATTATTACTACTAGGGATGTTCATTATTTTTATATATTGTGATGTTATTTAATCAAATAATAGCCCTCACAAATCTTATCTTCTTAATATTAAAAGAGGAGTACAAAATTGAAAATCAGAAAACTTTACCTTTCAATTCCAAAAATTACCCTTTAATTTGTTGTGTAGGAGAGCTTTTTTTAAAATCAAATGGGCTATAATCGTCAAATTTGACCAGTCAATCACAGACCCAATGACGACCCGCGCGTTTTTAATAACCCGTACTAACACCTTATCGGATCCGCTTTGGTTGCTGAACATTTTCTGAAAAAACAATAACGCGCGATTGGGCTTAATAATGTTTTAAAGGCCTGATTGTTTTTTGGAATGCAAAGCTTTTATTATTAAAACCCACGATCATGCTAGAGGTTACAAAATTTGGGTCTCTATACCAATCTAAATATTAAATACGAAATCTGTAATCATTCACTCTAATCAAAAATTATTCACTAAATATACGTGATAAAATATTCGTATCAATCATATTAGCATAATTTTAGAGTCATTATTAATTCTTGCCAATTAGTGATTAAAAACATTTACTGTTTCCTAATATTTTTCAAAATCATCAATAGCCGAAGACCACCGCAAGGCAATCCCTTTGTCTTTAGAAAAGCCCTAGCATCTTGCAAACTATATATAAATACATGTCAAAGGTTAATTCATACAATTACGTAACACGTCACATCTCTCTACTCTACAAAGCAAGTATTACAATGTCTGCATCTTTTGCATTCCTACGTGAAGTGAAACCATACAAAACTTCATGGAAGATCCAAGTAAGGGTTCTCCATACATGGAAGACTTACTCAACAAAATTTGGCGAGACATTTGAGATGGTTTTGGCTGATATCGAGGTATGGTAGATCAGTTTTTATGTTTCTGTTCTTTTCGTGTCATTACTCTTTTAATTGTTACTAACTAATTCTTACGGTCTTTCTTAAAGGGCACTAAAATCCATGCTTCCGTGAAAAAGGAATTGATAAATCGATTCCAAAACAAGATTTCGCAAGGTGAATGGAGATCAATTGAAAACTTTGGTTTAGGCATGGCTGGTGGCCAATTCAAACCAACCAATCACCGTTTCAAGATGAGTTTTATGACTCAAACCATTGTCAGCCGCATGGATCAACTATCTAAGGATCCATTTCTCAACCTAACTCCATTTGATTCTGTGCCAACTCTCAACCTTAACTACCTGATTGGTAATATTATTTTATTTTCTAAATCTAACTTTTAAAATTACCTCGCTGTAATATATTTAAACCGTTTTGAATATTTTTGGCTGATATTTATATGTAGATGTGTTGGGACAAATTGTGAACGTGGGTGAAATAGATACCATTGATGTCAACAACAGACCTACGAAGAAAATAGAGTTTGAGCTGCGAGATGAGAAGTATAAATTATAAAAATATTTCATTCTCATTATTGGCTTCATTTTAATTTTTGGAATCGGTATTTAACATGTTTCTGTTATTTTATCACAGTGATTCAAGATTGTCATGTACCCTGTGGGGAACATTTGCTGACCAAGTTTACCATGCTTGTGAAGAACATGGTGTTGATATAGTAATCTGTTTGATCAGATTTGCCAAAATAAAGACTTACAAAGGTAAATGTTTCTTACTACAAACGTTATAATTACAATAATCGATGATCCTATGTTATTTTGTGCTTTAAAAAAACCCTAACATAGCTGAAGAAGAGAGTTATATTTGGTTTCAATTCGTTGAAGAAGAGAGTTGACAGGGAAAAGAAAAAAAAAAAAAAAAAGGGTGAAGAAGATAAACGTATCTGTAAATGTTTTAGTCCTTTTGCCACATTAATTGTATTTTGGGGGTGTTGTTGTTGAAATCTATCCGAATTTGTTGACCCAAAAGAAAAATAAACCGGTTTGGTCTAACTAAATACAAAAACATACATGCAAAAAACAATATTATACCCTTTCCACTCTTATATTTTAGTTTACAATGTAGTTTTTTTCTTAAAAAAAAAATAATCATATATAGACCCCTTACTAAAGCACGGAATTGAACCCGCGGCTATCGCACCGTCCACCCTCTCACTTGAGCAGGCGGTGAATAATACTTAACACGAACCTACTTTTATAATTTAACAACAACAAAATATATATGAACACAAACAAAACATTGAGAACCTGTTTATAATATCAAGAACTATATTAACAAAAATTTCCAATAACCATAAACATATAAAAATAAAAAATAAATATTTTTACAAAATAAAAAGCAATGACCCGCGGTGTACCGCGGGTTCAAACCTAGTTTTGTTTATAAACGTTAAAAAAAAAAAATTGTTGGTTTTGGTATCTTAATAAGCAAAAAAAGTTAAGTTTGAACAAATCTGTACGTACAAGTATTCTTGTATTCAAAACAAAGGGCCTTATAGAAACAAAATCAACGTTTTAATCAATTTGGTCTAATATGTATCTATGTTAATTATGGAAATCCATTTATGTTTGAGCATATCTTTAAAAATTATATTTTCGTATTTAAAAGAGAAACTTTTTTTTCAGAAGTTTGACTTCAAATTTTTTGAACCTTTGCTCTTACCGGAAGTGACATAACATGTATTGAAATCCATTTTTGGGTCATTCAGAAGTTTAATTTCAAAAACATTCAGAGTAATATGATGATGTCAATGTACACCAACCATATCAATAAATTTTTTAGTGGGCATAACATATTATATAGACAATGACTAATAAGTATATTATCGCATTACTGAAAGATACAATAATAATGGTGGAAAATAATTTTAACCATTTTGTCAACCAGCTTTAACTAAATATACCAAGAGTGTAACAAAAACCATATTCACCCTTATATCTGTGTGCGCAGTTGATATCACAACATGTTTCGAGACATCTTTGACAACATATACCACCCCTACTGTTACATATTTTTAGAGAAGGTGGTGGTGGTGATGAGGATCCACCATATTTGTAATAGCAAGTGCAAAACGGAAAGCATCCCAATACTGCGTTCATAACTGCTTTCTGCAACGTTTCGACCGCCATCTCTCAAGTGGGCCCCATGTTCACCACCAGCCCATGGGCCCACCTCCTTTAATAGGACTCATATCCTCTCACTAGGCCCATCAATATCCGACAGTTGGGTTGCTACGTCCGCGAGGCTTAATGACTTATTTACCGATCCTACAAATCACTACGTGATATTTCTCTGTGTTTTGGTTTCAATCACATAGTTCTGAAAACCATATCCCAGCATAAGTACGCTTAACTGTTGAGTTCTCTCACGACCCTTGACCGAAAAGATAAGTGCACTTTGGTGACATAGGTGGTCTAATCAATTTGTTTAAGCCTCTCCACAAACCCGGATCTGCATGATTTAATGATTATGTTTGGCAACATGATTAAATAACTTTTTTATTAATAGCAGTGATTTGCAAATAATATTGGGGGAATTTCAAAAATACCTCTTTTCAAATACCACTTTTTAAAAATACCCCCATTTAAAACTTTATCAGATAAACCACTGAAAATGTTAAAATTTATTCAAATATGTGTGTAAACTAATAGATATACACACAAATTACCTTTATATATGTATAAAATTTTATATATCTTTCATAAATAGCGTTAAAATAACTTATAAAAACCTTTTAAGAACCTTATAAACCCTTTTAAAAACCATTTAAAAACCTTATAATACTTGTAAAAACTATGTAAAACCTTTTAAAACATTAGAAAATATTTGTATCGATTCTCCAAATAGTAGTTATTATACAGAAGTACCTTATAAACCATATTTAAACAGGGGAATTTATAAAAATGGATAGATAAAGGGGTAATTTTGGAAAGGGGTATACCAAAAAGGGTATTTCTCAAAAATTCACAATAATATTTTCGTTAAAATTAACATATTTGTTTATAATTTTTTCCAACATCTTAATCGATAATATTTCACTTTTTAAAATTACAGGGTATTTTACTTTTATTTTCAAAATTCAGTATCTTATTATATAAACCTTGGTTTTCAAAGTCAGCCATTAACAAGATCGTGACACGTGTTAATTATAAACAATAGGATGTTGACACGTGTCGATTCTAATTTTGTTAATATTTAGATAAAATAGAAATATTATTAACCCTATCGAAAAAGAAAAAATATAAAACAAATATTATAAAGAATTATATATTAAAATTTTATTAATTAAATTAAACAAATAACCTAATTTCAGTTATGTCAATTTGGTTTATTAATAGGATAAGGATTTAAAATTTCTAATTAAACAAGAATATATGTCGGTTTTTGTTTACAGAAGAGGATTAAGGTTTAAACTTTAATTTTACAATTAAAACAGGTTATTTGTTGGTTTGGGTATATAAATGATAAATGAGAATTATGGTTTATTTTTGTAAATAAAAATTATGGTTTAAGTTTAATTATTGAACGAGATTATATGTCGAAACTTGGTTTTTAAATTTACTAACTCACGTGATCATGATAAGTGTCAAGTAAAAACATAAGATGTCGCAACATGTTATATCTAATTTTGTTAATATTAAGATACAAATGAAATTTTTAAACAAAATTAAAAAATAATTATAAAAAATTAAAAATTTACTAACACGTGATCATGATAAGTGTCAAGTAAAAGCATAAGATGTCGCAACATGTTATATCTAATTTTGTTAATATTAAGATACAAATGAAATTTTTAAACAAAATTAAAAAAATAATTATAAAAAATTAAAGAGAATTTTTGAGAAATACCCCTTTTGGTGTACCTCTTTTCAAAAATACCTCCTTTATCTATCCATTTCCAAAAAATATCCATGTTTAAATATGAAAAATTATAAAGTTTTATATGGTTTATAAGGTACTTCTATATAATAACTACTACTTGGAAATTTGATACAAATATTTTATAATGTTTTAAAAGGTTTTAAATCGTTTTTACAAGTTTTATAAGGTTTTAAGTGGTTTTTAAAAGGGTTTATAAGGTTTTTAAAAGGTATTTATAAGTTATTTTACGCTATTTATGAAAGATATATTAAAATTTAAACATATATAAATGTAATTTGTGTGTATATTTATAAGTTTTCACAGATATTTGGATAAATTTCAACATTTAAAGTGGTTTTTTTATAAAGTTTGAAATAGCGGTATTTTTAAAAAGTAAAAAATTGATATTTATAAAAACAAAATGTGTAAGCTTAGATATTTAGACACAAATTATCTTTCTATGTGTGTAAATTTAAATACCATATAAATACGTTTTAAAAATTATTTAAAAAACATATAAAAACTTTTTAAACCTATAAAAACCTTATAAAAGTATTATAAATGCCGTTTAGAACCTTTTTAAAACTTTATAAATATTTGTATTGAGTCTCCTAATAGTAATGATTATCTAGATGTACCTTATAAACTATATAAAAGTTTACAATTTTTCACATTTGAAAAGGGATATTTTTAAAATGGATAGAAATTGGTGTATTTTTGAAAACGGGTACACCAAAAGGGGTATTGCTTAAAAATTCTCTTTCAACTATTAACCTAATTTTTGGTTTTGTCAGTTGTAAGTTTTAAAATTATAAGGGTTATATATTGAGTTTATAAATCTGCATTATAGTTTAGATTTTGTAATTAAACGAGATTATTTATCGATTTTGGCTTATTAAAGAGGAGTGAGATTTAAGTTTTACAATTAAACAAGGTTATTTATCAGTTTGGGTTAACTAAATACATAATTTTATTCATTATTTTTATTTTATAATATGTTATATTTGTTTAATTTTTAATTTATGTATGAATGTATTATGCCATTGAGAAATTTTATTGTCTTAAACATAAGGGTGAATAAAATATTTTCGAAAATAATATTTTTCGCTTAAATTTAAGATAAAAAAAGTTTAATATAAATCGTAATATAGTAATTTTAAAATATTTTTAACGAAAACATGTAGTTTTTTATAATTCGTATTTGAAAGATTTTTTAATGTTTTCCTCAACGATGCTATAATTTATTTTAGAATCTTTATGTTTATTTGCGTTGTTTATATGAATTTATTTACAAATTTGTATTTAACATCATATTTTAGATTGATGTTAATTTGAAAGAACTTTACCATCATATTAAATAATAATTAATTAATTTTCATAGTCAGAGAATGATTTTTTGAAAAATTTAAAGTTAAGAAATAAATTTTTTTACAAAATGGTATAATCATGTTTTAGAGGATAATTGCTAAATTAAGATTTTTAAAAATATTTTAGAAATATTATGAGTAATGGTGAATAGCTCCCAAATAGCTCTCAAATGTTTTGGTGATTGTCAATTTGACATTACTAGATTTTTATAATTAACGTTTAATAACGAATTTTAAAAGATATCTATATATATATATATACGTTTATTTGATACTTCAAACCAAATAAAATCTCTATCCAAATGAAATTAATTTCTCTTATTTTTCAAAAAAAAAATTTGTAAATTATTTTTCTATAAGTTATAATAAATTTTATTTTTAATTTTCTTTTAAATAAAGATAACCCGTCCATCGGACGGGTACTAACCTAGTCATCTCTAAACTTTGCAGTCATGCCAAAATGCATTCATCTCAATAAAAAATATAATTCTTACTAAACAAA